TTTGGAAGCTTTTTATATGTGCATGCATGTGTTTGTCATACCATATTTGTGACTTTGGTGTTAATGTTTGGTCTGTCTGTCTCTCCCTTTGTAACCATGTGATGCACATATGTGACTTTTTCGCACTAAAAAATTTGTTTTCCTACCTGAAAGTATATACACTGATGTATCATCGATATCTACTAGTGTTTATATATACTGACATATCGATATCTATTAGTATTTACATATACTGAATTATCGATATCTACTAGTGTTTATGTCGTGATATTGAAAAAATTAATCCTTAGAAAAAAAAATACCATTCTTTTGTACGTCAATTTTGATTATACAGTGCATGTTTAGCATATAAAACATCACAATTTATTAACTTGATAGGTAGTTGCATACTGAGATATTAATTGTGCAGATAATTGCGGGTTATTCAAGAAATGTATGTATTGACTTGTACATCTATTGTGCCACTATTACCGTTTAACTGGAAGTGTAAAATAGATAGACAAGTGTATATAAGTTGAAATTTCACCTAACAACATTTAAGCTAAGAAAATTCAAGAAGACCTGAGAAATTTGGATAATCATCCATTATTAAATACATTTGGGGTAATTGGATCTGAATTTGCACCTACCTATTTTTCCACCCGAATCTGTGGGGCGCTAATACTCCCTTTCCTGTGTTCCTTCTTTCTGCTGAAAAAATGGTCAAAAGAAACTCAACCAACGTAGTTAACTCCAATATCCCATTCAAGCCATAGCCTTTTTAAGTTGGAAAACGTTTGTATGTCACCATCCATTATTGTATAATGTATCCTAGTTAATGATTTTCCTGTTTGAACTATATTTTCCCCTTAGAACAAAGTATTGATCGTTTCTGTGGTGCAGAAATGATGATGTTTTGTTTTTGTCAGTAGTAAGGTGAGCAGTAGGAGGAAAGTGAAGGGCAATTTGACGGGGACGGCTCAAAATGCTCGAAGTCAAAGGTGTTGTATGTCCAAACAAAATTGTAGTTGTGTTGGCAGCTATTGATGAATTGGTTCTATTGCCTCCATTTGTGCTTAGCTTTCCGTCTGGGGTTGGTTTTTTTTTTTTTTTTTTTTTTTTTTTTTGTATAAAAGTTGGTTTTAGTGCCTAGCTAGTGTCAAACATCTCAATTTTCATGATTTGCTTTTTTTTTGAAATTTTATAAAATTTAATCTTTTATATACCACAGAGACGCCTTCGTACGAATAGAACTAAATGCATGCCACGTATACAAAGAAGAATCTGTAATTCGAATACAAATTACGTGTCATGCATTCAAACTTGTTAGTGTACAAAAAAAATAAAAAATAAAAATAAAGATCCACCAAATGTGCAAGAAAGGTTAATTTAATTTTATGTTGGTTTGAAAATCTTTTTAAATATGGTTCAATGCTCATTCAAGACTAGCAAACAGAAGAAAATGAAAAACCCATTAAATGGTTATCTTTCTTTCTTTCTCATCCTACCATTAAATGTGAAGTATACCACATGCAAGTTAGTTCTAGCTAATTTTAGGCATTAATTACTTACTGATTAATGCTACATTAACAATAATGTTAGATGACCTGATTTCAAGGTCGTGTTTGTCTGTGCAGTGATACTGGTAAGCAAGTTAATGAAGCATTCTCTTTGTATGGATTGCTGGGATTGCTCCATTTCCAAACTGGTGCACTGTGGTTTGGAAAAACTCTCACATTATTGTTTATATTAAATCCAAAACTTGAGATCGAAATCCTACAGATGTAAGACCGAATCCTTTTGCTTTTTATATTATGGACAAGTTACAAATATGAAGCAAAAGATTCAGATCAGAATAAAAGAAAAGGTATGAAGCAAAAGATTATGGAACGATTTGACATTAAAAAAAAATGCAGGCATCTTCATACTGTGAGAAATGAGATTGAAAAAAAAAAGATTATTTAGCAATTTTATATTCTTTTTTGTTGCTTGAATGCTGCAAACAAGGGAAATCCCAAGTCAACAAACTAGTAGTACTTCATTAATATTACGGCTCAAATTAATTGTTCTAGGCTGGGCCAAGTTTTTTTTATAAGCCTCTATCTATAACGGGTATAATAATATGTTCTAGATGGGTATAAATGGTACCTACTTTTTGCTGTGACATCCCCTCAGGCCCTCACCAAACCTTTTCTATTATTTTCTTTTCTTAATTTGCCAATTGATAATTTAAGACGGGCCAAGTGACAATTTCCACTCTCCTTTGTCATTTTTGTGATGCAAATTGATTTATTCTGCACAAGATATTAAACCTTTTGCATCTTATTTTATGATTTTTTTTTTTTACCTTCCACGATCTTATATTGTCTCGACATCGGAATTATGTAACCCTTTAGTTAAACAGTTGAAAAAGTAATTAGATAAAAAAGTAACACCAAAGATAATGACTTGCTAATAAACAATGGGTTTACAAGCAAGCCAATAAACATAGAGATAAACTACCGATTAGTGAACTCCATAAAAGCTAACAGCCTCTTGGGCTGTTAGTAAAAGTTTTGGTGAGGGTCGGAGGTCAAGGATTCAACCCTTGCCTCTCACCTTGCCACTTAATTGTGACTTCCTTCTACTGAAAAATCCCTCCGGCTCCCCCTTCTCTTAAATTAGATTAGAGTAGAGTAGGTTATACAAATGTTATCATTGCGAAAAAAAAAGGAACTCCATAAAAAACCAGCAGACAAATTTTGGAGAACATTTTCATTTATTAGAGGATCCGGTAGCTAAATAATCCCAAGTTTTTTGAATTTAGCATTGGATCAATCTTGGCCCAAGTGTTTCAACCAAGGCTCCATCAAACGCAATTGGACTGATATGATGACCATAAGTTATCTCTATAGCTGACATTTGGGCCGTAGGCATGCCCAATATGGCAGCACTCTCCTCAAAGTAGTTGGAGTATGTATCTGAACTGTGTGGGTTTGTGACTGGTTTTATGGTCCATTGGAGGAGGAAAGTTTAGTGTATCTTCTGTTAGCGCTTTCCTGGCGAAACCGTGCTTACCTTCTTGGAAGCTTTTGACTATTCTTTTGGTCAAAGCCGTCGTGTTTAGCAAGAAAGTGCCTTGCCTTGCACGGCAGTAATTGTTTACTTTTTCCCATTGGGGAGTAGGCGGGATTAATATGTTTATTATAATATATTAGCTAGAATGCATGGCAATTAATTACAACTTGTTTTTCAAAATTTGCACATGTAACACACATTAATCTCCCTTATCCTTGCTTTAATGTATATGTTATCAGCGTAGGAAAGATTAATTATTGAATAAAATGAGAATAATTTGAGTACTGGGTATGTTTGGATGGCAAACTAAAAGGAAAAAAAATTTTTTTTTTTGCCGTAGCATAGAGGTATAAACTGTATTTCAATCACCTCTTTTTTTTTTATGTATATTTTTAACCACTTTTCCATTTCATATGCTAACACATCATATCACAAAAACGCGAAAGTCAAATCTTTCCACATAATTTCAATCCTTTAATTGTAAAGTTCTTTTTGGTCCAAATTGAAAATTCAAAGACCACCAAAAATATAGGTTCATTTTATTTTTGGTCCTTTGAAATAATAAATGAATGCAAAGTGCAGTTCCCTTTAAATAGTTTTATTAAGTACATTAGTTTACTACCCATATTGAACAAAGATAGTGAGTTATTACAAATATAATAGTAGAATTACTAGGATACCCAATATATATAATCTCTCAATAAATAAATTACCTCAAAAATAATGCATATAATTTTGAAGGTTTTAGCTAATAGGTGCTCGATAAGCACTTGATAAAAAAGGGAATTCAGGTGTTACTTTGTCGCAAAATTTGAGTTAATTATTAGGAGAAGTATCTAAAGGTGCAATAAATATTGATATGTGCATGTATTCGCATAATAAGTTGGGGTAATTTAGGTTCACTAGTAACATTCAAAAAAAAAAATATTTTTTCAAATTCAAAGTAATGGAGACAATAATGGTTGTAGAAAATCCTCAAAACAAAAGGAGCAGAGCAAAACAAAAAAAAATTCATGTAGAAACGTGTGAAATGTTTGGAAAGAACAGGGGCCTTGGTCATCTTCTTTTTTTTTTTTTTTTTTTTCTGGAAAGGGAACCTTGGTCGTCTTAGAATATTCAAAAGTTGATCAAGCACGTACAAATTGAACGAGGAAGCCAATCCACAACGGTCCACCTATAAACCGCGCGAACCTTAGGTACCGTTTGGAATTAACGGAAATAAACGGGAAAGAAATGAGAGTAAAGGACAGTAGGTTTTATCCATCTTGGTTTAGAATAAATATATTTCCATATATAAAGTATGAGGAAGGAGTTTGGTGTTAAAATTTTGTGCCATTTTATAGTTGTTTTAATTTTATCTTCACAAGAGTAAAGATTTACTAAAGATAGCTAACTTAAAATTTTAGTAACTTCTAACAATTTCTACTTTCAATAACATTTATTATTTTATTTGTTTGCCAAAAACAATAACAACTTCTTTATTTTTGCAAAAAAAAATCTAATAATTTTCATTGGCTTTAGTAAAAACAACTTAATTGTTTATCAATTTGCACACTCATAGAGTGTGTTTTTTCCAAAGTAGAAAGAAAAGAAAGTAAATATTTGATGTGTTATTTGGATTGAGGAAGGAAAAATTCAATGATCACGTAAATTGAGAAGATTCAAAAAAAGAATGTTTAAAAAAAATTAATTGTTTCATTTAAGTTGATTCCTTTTTGCTCCATTCCTCCCACTTTTGGAATGAATTTTTTTTTTTAAAAAGGAAAAAACTAGACCCACTCCCTACCTAACCTTTCCTTTCCCTCCTTGAAACATAACGTAAACAAGAAAATTTTAAATCCTTCCAATTCCACTCCTTTCCTTTCCTCCATTCCTTCAATCCAAACGGTGCCTTAGAACACCCAACCAATGCCGTATTTCATCTTCCCATCTTCTAGGCTGCTTCCTTCCATCTCCAACTCTCCCGGACAGCCCTTCTTATTCTTAGCATGTCTCTCAGTTCTATCACCAATATCAATATATACAAACCATTCCATTTCCTTTAACTTCCACAAGAAAGCACCAAAAGAAAAGGTTCCAAGCAATTATAATTATAACACTCGATACTACAATTCGGTTACAGAGCTGACTGCATTCAGTAGCAATGGCTGTTTCAGAGATGTTTCAAGGGGCGTCTTTGATCCCATCTTTTCTTTATTCTCCTTCTTCATTGTCATCGAGGGGATTGATTGATGGGGAGAGCTCTTTTCTGATGTCTAGTGCTTCATTTTCGCCCTCCAATGTTTCATCAGCAGCAGGAAATAAAGAGATTGTTAAGAGAGAATTTGTGATTCCAGCGCCTAATGAGCCCGCTGAAAAGATTAAGATGTTTTCACCGGCTTATTATGCTGCTTGCGGGGTTGCTGGAGCGATTAGTACTGGGCCAACTCATTCGGCTGTCACCCCTATTGATCTGGTCAAGTGTAATATGCAGGTAAATCACTTAATAGATGATGATGATGATGCATTGTTCCCACCGCCCCCCCCCCCCCTTTGGCTTATGTCTCAGGCTCTATTTGTGTTGGAATCAATATAATACCGTATCCGTGAAAGAAATGCGACAAAGGAAATGTTGTTAGAGCATTTAGATTAGCAGTAAGTTCAGGTTTTAAGATCTTGGTTCTTTATTGTATATGATGACAAATTGTTAATTTCTATGGTGGGTCAAAAAGAAAAGTTTAGATGCATAACTAGAAGTTTCATACTGAGAAAAATATGTAGGTAAATCATATAATTCCTTTGGCAGTTTGGCCTATTCGTTGATCCACTTATTGTTTGAATTTGTAATAAGATGCATTAGATATAATAGTTTTGTCTATTGGAAGAAGAAGTCATGGTATGTCACCAGAGATCAGCCAGAAGACATCAGGCATTATGCATACTAAATATTTATTGTTCTTCTATAAAGCTAATGGTGTAGTAATTGAATTAACTTGATAATCCTTATGTATTCAGATTGACCCTGCAAAGTACAAGGGCATTACTTCTGGTTTCAGTGTTTTGCTCAAGGAGCAAGGCGTAAGAGGACTTTCTAGGGGTTGGGTACCAACCCTGCTTGGTTATAGTGCTCAGGGAGCTTGCAAGTATGGATTCTATGAATTCTTTAAGAAATACTACTCTGATATTGCTGGTCCTGAGTATGCAGCCAAGTATAAGACTTTGATCTACCTCGCTGGCTCTGCATCCGCTGAATTCATTGCTGTTGTTGCCCTTTGTCCCTTCGAAGCAGTTAAGGTTCGTGTCCAGACTCAACCTGGATTCGCCAGAGGCATATCAGATGGACTTCCCAAGTTTATCAAGGCTGAAGGTCCACTTGGGTAAGGTTTTCATTGCATGTCAAGTAGTTGATACAGTTTCTTATTCTGCTGATACATTCTAAAGCCAATCTTATATATAATTTATATTTTTCCAGGCTTTACAAAGGGCTTGTTCCTCTATGGGGACGACAAATTCCATGTAAGCTTCCATGTCTATTTTCTTTCGCTATCTTTACATCTTAATTCTCAAAGTGTTATTCTTGGTCATTTGCCTATTCTGTCATGGACATGCTTTGCCAATTTACAGCTCTAGCTTTCTGATTTTCTCAATGACATCATTGAATATTTTTAGATCATCTCCAATTGCTTTTGTAATAGTCTTTCAGTCTTAACTTCAATTAGAGTTTTCAGTAGTGACTCACAAATGCAGGCTATTTATTCAATCACAAAATACTAGGCAATCTATTTTCCTGATAGTATATTGAGCAACAAGTATAATTAGCTTGAAGCTGCCGTGTGCAGAAACTAGTTTCTTCTGCAACATCTTCAGTTACCGCGTGTCCCCTGCACAGACATGAGGTTGCAGATTACCTGCTTTTCAAGTCGATCCCAATTTTGAAAATGAAACGTTAGACTCATTAAAAAACACACGTACATTAACTGCATTATGATATTTTTTTTTTTTTTTTGTATTTGCAAACCATGGTTTATCCTCAGAAAAGGGCAATTTCATTTACTATCACTATAAAAAAATTTTTAAGCTCCATGTTATGATGCGATATGTACATTCTTGATAATGTAGACTTTAGGTGTTGCAACGCATTTCCAGTTGTGTGATTTACTTTGGGAACTTAATCATAGGTTTAGATGAAAGAGTCGGTATACATCTATCCGTTACACGGAAAATCCTTCTCTGCTACTCTCTAGTTTTCTGAAAATAAGCAAATGAACAATGAGGTTTGGATATCAACAAGCAACTTTTGGAAAAATTATTCTGCTAAAAACACACATCTTTTTCCATTCCTTCTTACTTGGTAGTTACTTTCTAGATATACTCTCAGAAAAATTGGTAGCCTTGTATTTGCCAAATAACCAGAATGATATCTTTGCAGACACAATGATGAAGTTTGGATCTTTCGAGACCATTGTGGAACTTGTGTACAAGTATGCCGTTCCAACTCCTAAAGAGCAGTGTAGCAAACCTTTTCAGCTTGGAGTTAGCTTTGCAGGTGGTTATGTCGCTGGCATTTTCTGTGCTCTTGTCTCACATCCTGCTGATAACCTGGTCTCTTTCCTCAACAACGCCAAGGGGGCGACCGTGGCTGATGTAAGTAAAGATATATAGCAGTATTACTTACTGCCCTTAGGTTGAAATTGTTATCCATCCTGTGTTATTTCTCATATGATTTCTGCTACAATTTATTTGCTGCAGGCTGTAAAGAACCTAGGCTTGTGGGGTTTATTTACTCGAGGCCTTCCTCTTCGTATATTCATGATCGGTACCCTTACTGGAGGACAATGGGGATTGTATGATTCTTGCAAGGTTGCTCTTGGATTGTAAGTTACTCATTAACCTTTGCTTCTGGAGTCACTTGCATCTTTTTATGATCTTCTTCCTGTATATCCTTTTCAGCATTTGCATTTTCAAGTCATTAGTCCTTTTCATGAATTGATAAGATCTCTCTACTTGTGTTTTAGTTCTTTCTCTTGTAATGATATGTTGCTCTTCCTCCTGCAGACCAACTACCGGTGGTGCTGCTCCTCCTGCACCAGCAGCAAGCTTGAGGGATTCCCTGATGATCTGAGAACACAAGTTCCTTATCTCTGTAGTCAGACATTTTTTTGTAGGCCATTCTTTTTAGGGATAACATTCAAATTGAAAAGGTCAGAGCTGCCTTCCAGGTTGGCATTTGATCTTCTGGGATTTGTAATATCTTCAAAGGCATCATTGTATTTGCTAAATCTGTAATAATATGAAAACTATGTAATAATAAGAGTAAACGTTGGAGGAAAAAAAAAAAATTTTCGAGAATTTTCTTTCGAAGTAACAAATGTCTCGTGTCAAAATCCCAAGCCAGTTGAAAACCTTTACATGTCCCCAAAGTTCTGCTGTTAGTAGGAGTGGGCAAAATTGAAAAATTCTGATTTATCGATCGAATTCGAATTGAATTTGGAATTTTCAGAATCGGTAATTCGGAATTCGGCATTGAAATCAGAATTTTCGATTTCGAATTATGTGAATTTGGTTCGAATTCAGTAACGGAGTTTTTGAAATCAAAATTTATGATTTTAATTTTGTTTTATAATATATATATTTATAGATATATTTATATATATAATAATATTTTTATAATGTATGTAATATAGAATTTATATTATATAACAATATATCAAACAAAAAAAAGGGGGAAAAAGGTTTTGAATTCGGTGAATTCGAAATTTATCGAATTTCGAATTGAATTCGGAACTGGTGAATTTGAAATCGAATTCGATCAATAATTCTACTCCCAAATTTTCAAAAAATTCCGAATCCGAACTTCCGAATTACTGAATTCGAATTTGTTATACAACACTAGCTGATAGGCTGGCAGCCGGCCCAACTATTTCAACTAGGCCCCGCTTGATAAGACTAAAATCTGGTGTTCGAAGTTTGAAAGTGTTTAAAGCATTAAAGTGTTGAATTAATATTAATAAAATTATGCTCCATTTAGTTGGTTGACAACTAATAGAATTATAGCACTAAATTAAAATATCGCACAAATATTATTATTTTTTTTATCTTTTATTAAATTGAAACATTGCTCCGTCTATTATCAAGCATGTTGAATTCAAAACACTCCAAATGAATTAATTTTCAACAGTAAATAGAGAGTTATGAAACAGGCCCTAAGATTCCATGTACCATTTTTTAACTTTACATATTTGACGCAATAGCAGATCAACATTTTACTTTGTATATAAAAGGTGTGTTATAGTTTGGTGTAGACTTTTTTTTTTTTTTTTTTCACTTTTTAAAAAGCCCAACTTTACTCTCACAACAAACTTAATTTTACATTTCTAATCTAATCACATAACCTTCCAGAAGCCTATATTGTCAACCAACACAATCACAACTGAGTTTCACCTTCACTATTCAAATGCTTTTTTTTTTTTTGAGGAACTATTCAAATGCATATTATTACCTGCATAACTACCAATCAACATTATAATCACCAAATTAATTTTAAAAACCTATTCAGAAAACAATTATGAATCAAGGGTTTTTTTTTCTTTTTAATGAAACTGTATACTCAATTTTTTCATATAAAAAATAATTTGTTCTAGAATTGCACATACATTGAACAATAGGGTCTAAAAGAACTCAATTATAGAACTTGTCACACGCATGCTATTATGACCCCATGGAAATGGGGTAGCATAACCGTCCTGAGCAGTTAATGACCATGATTTGGTCAAAAAATTTTGTGCGGTCCTGATAACAAGTTATGCATCAATTTTCACATCGTGTGTGGGACCCGCAAAATTTTGTACTAAAGTTACACGTTATACAAATAAAATTACACCGCTGTTAAAAATGGCCAAAACCGTTGAGGACGGTTGCACCCTGCCCCTTGTCCATGACCCCATGCTCATTTTGTATAGACAAAGAAGTTCCGTAAGGTTTCCTGACTGAGTCTGGTCCTTCGGGCTGCCGGTGGAAATGTTGCTAAATCTTATGTCAGCGCTTTAGTGGCTAAACGGTGTTATACACAAGGAATTATTTTACAAAAAAAGTTATTTATTTGCATTATAATCATATTTTTAATACATTTCTTTTATCTTTTTAATATATTTTTATCTCATATATATTATATTATAAAAAATATTATAATAATTATTTTAAATAATATTTTAAATAATCTCTTATCCCTAACATTTTGTAGTATTTGTTAACGTGAATGACATCCTGTCGAGAATGTAAGTATAGTCTAACTATATGACTAAAAAAAAAAAAATTTCCCCCAATTTTTTTTATTTGATTGGAATGATGCATAAATTTTTCAAAATGAAAAGAATTACTGGAGATAAAATTGTTCTACAAAATCCTTCAAAAAGGAACAAAGGGGAAAAAAAAATTCAGGGACAAAGAATGAGAAGACTTTGTGAAGAACACGGGGCGTCTGCAATCTTAAAATATTCAAAAGCTATTCAAACACAGGTCAACAAAAAAGAAAAGTCAAACTCAAATACGGAATGAGTGAGGAAGCCAACTCCCTAACGGCCCCTATAAACCGCGCGAACAGTGGACTGACACCCCTTACAATCCGCATCCAAAAGGCCTTGTTAATTTCATCTTCCTCCCCTCTTCCCTCCCTCTCCAACTCTCCCGGACAGCCCTTCTTCTTTTTCTTGGGATTTCTCTCAATTCTATCACCAAATAAATCTACACAAATCATCCCACTTCCTTAAACTTCCCAAAAAAAAAGAGAGTAAAAAGTAAGCCAAAAAACTGGTTTCAAGAAAGAACAACACTTCAGTACTACTATTCGATTGCAGAGCTGACTGTATTCACTAGCAATGGCTGTTTCAGACAAGTTTCAAAGAGCATCTTTGATCCCATCTTTTGTTTATTCTCCTCCTTCGTTGTCGTCAAGGGGATTGATTGATGTGGAGAGCCCTTTTCTGATGTCTAGTGCTTCATTTTCGCACTCCAGTGTTTCATCATCAGCACGGAATGAAGGGATTGTGAAGAAAGATTTTGTGATTCCAGCGCCTAATGAGCCCACTGGAAAGATTAAGATGTTTTCGCCCGCTTATTATGCTGCTTGCACTGCAGGAGGAATTTTTAGTTGTGGGCTAACTCATATGGCTGTCACCCCTCTTGATCTGGTCAAGTGTAATATGCAGGTTAATAACTTCATTCATGACGATGCACTGTTTTATTTTTATTTTTTCATTCTCCTTTTCGGATTATCTGTTAGGCTCTATTTTGCATTGGAATCAATGTAGTAAGGGTGTCCGTGAAAGAGATGCGAGATAAGGAATTTTATTAGATTAGGTAGAGAAATTATACTAAGCAGTAAGTTTAGACTATTAGATCTTGGTTCTTTATTGTAATTGTTATTGAATTTTATACATTTTATTTTATACTATATTAAGTGAGAAATATACTTGCGATATATTTACATTTATCTTGTATTTAGCATTTTATCAATGATTCCAAAATGTAAGAGAAGAACTGAACTATCTTGAGCACCAAAAAAAAAAAAAAGCCTTTTGGGGATTTCTTCATTTACCTTTCCCTTCCTTTGCTGAAGGTAATAGCTATCGTTACTTTGTTAATGCATTCTCAGTTCTACGTTTGTACATGATCAGAAGCAGTTGTTTTCTCTGCTGGAAAAAAATGATTAGATGCAAAAATTGAAACAGAAATTTCATGTTGTGCAAATATGTAGGTGAATCATTGTTATAGGAGTACTTCTAAAGCCATGCCATTTGCCTCTTTAGTGCTTCTAATTTGTGTGGCATAATCTTTAATCCACTCATTGTCTGAATTTGTAGTAAGATGCATTAGGTATCTTAGTATTATATATATAAAAAAAGAAGGTATATTAGTGTTTGTTTTTTGGAAGAAACAGTGGTGGTATGTCACCAGGATTCAGCCATAAAACATCATGCAATTAATTAAATCTTTATTGTTCTTCTGTTAAGCTAATGGTGTAGTAATTGAATTAACTTGATAATCCTTATGTATTCAGATTGACCCTGCAAAATACAAGGGCATTACTTCTGGTTTCGGTGTTTTACTCAAGGAGCAAGGTGCAAGAGGTTTTTTTAGGGGTTGGGTGCCAACCCTGCTTGGTTATAGTGCTCAGGGAGCTTGCAAGTTTGGATTCTATGAATTCTTTAAGAAATACTACTCTGATATTGCCGGTCCTGAGTATGCAGCCAAGTATAAAACTTTGATCTACCTTGCTGGCTCTGCATCTGCTGAATTCATTGCTGATGTTGCCCTTTGTCCCTTCGAAGCAGTTAAGGTTCGTGTCCAGACTCAACCTGGATTCGCCAGAGGCATATCAGATGGACTTCCCAAGTTTATCAAGGCTGAAGGTCCACTTGGGTAAGGTTTTCGTTACCATGTCAAGTAGTTAATGCAGTTTGTCATTCTCCTGATACAGTTGAAGGCCTCTTTTATGGATTATATAATGTTACTCATAGATAATTAATTTTTTTTGCAGGCTTTACAAGGGGCTTGTTCCTCTATGGGGACGACAAATTCCATGTAAGCTTCCTTGTTTATACTCTTTCATTATTTTTATATCTTGAAGTGATATTCTTCGCCATTGCCTATTCTGTCGTGGGCATGCTTTTGCCGGTTTAAAGCTTTAGTTCACTTTTTCTAATGAACTATGATCCATTTTACTCTGCGTCTTAACTTGTAGTAAGGTTTTTAGCATTCACAACTGCAAGCTATTTCCAATACAAGAATACTTCCCAGTCTATTTTGCTGATATTTTTCTGTAACAAGTATAATTAGCTTTTAGCATGAGGCTTTCATGTGCATGCCATAAACAGTTATCTTCTGTAACATCTTTATTTGCAAAAAATGTGTTCCCATGCACAGACATGAGCTCGCTGATAACCTGCCTTTTAAGTTACGGTCAAATTTGACTTGAAATTGAGAGACTCAATTGACATATAAATTAACTGCATCATGTGTTTCTGTTTAATTTATGATCAAATTTTATCCTGAGAAAATGGCATTATATAAGCTTCCAGTAAAAATTCATTATTTAATCTCTACATTATGATACGATATGTACATTCCTCGCATTGTAGAATTTGGGTGTTGAAATTGCAGTTGCACCATTTGCTATACAAACTTTATTCTTTGATTTTGATGGCAGATTAAGTGTACATCTTTTAGTATAATGGAACTCCTACTCTGACAGCTATGTAAGAACATTAAGTCCTATTCTGTGAGCTTGAGTATTGAAAAGCATTTCGCCCTGCATTACATAAATAGTCACTAGATATATCCCAGGCAAAGTTTGGTTCTTGATATAAATATC